TCTCTCTCTCTCTCTCTCTCTCTCTCTCTCTCTCTCTCTCTCTCTCTCTCTCTCTCTCTCTCTCTCTCTCTCTCTCTCTCTTCCCTCTCTCCCTCTGAAACGACGTGTACTCTTGTACCCTAATTGTGGGGTGTTGAATAATGTTAACAAAAAATTGAACTTATATCACCCTGCCACACCTAATAAATCATATCATGCCTCTCAACCTGTTATCTCACGGTCATCTGATCATGAGTATCAAAAAACTATGGGCACTCAGCCATGAATAGATAGACATTTTATTCAACAATCGCCTCAATCTACTATCGTGTCAGTGAACAATAAAATTAATAAATTTTATCTAGGATGATGAGTTCTCACAAGACAAATCCCTTTGCGGTTAGCGCGATATAATGCGACCTCGTGAATGTCAGGGGTGGCCATGAAGTGTCGGCGGTCACCATCATGATATTATTTTGTCGTTGGTAGTTACGAAGTCTCGATTATTATAAAAATGACAAGTCCAAGAACGACACCCAGACTGGTACCTATGCGTTCCGTCTCGCCCACCGATGATGCAACTCCGAGGCCGAGACAAAGGGCAGATCTTCTTTCCCATCCAATGACAGAAATAACAATAATATATTGTTTAATGAAGTTAGTCACGATTATGAGAAAGTTGGCCCTTTGTGGGACAGAGGGTGGAAAAGGAGGGGAGGTGGCTTTATTTTGATTTCTGGGAGAGGAAGACAGTCACGTATTGGGGAAAAATGGGGACGGGGGCTCCGAAAAAATACACTCTACTCGCTACAAAAATTCCCTATCTTGACCTAGAATGTCTTATGACGTCACCCAAAGGCCGTTCCCACCCCAATCTGGTAAGTGGAGAAGGTTGTGGGTCAAAGTTCTTTCTGGCCCAGATCGCAATACCAAATGAAGCACAGACAGAAGTTACAATGTTACAGATTCCAATACTGGAGATGGTCAAAGGTTAGAGGAGTGCACCCGTCCACTGGGCGCGGCTCTCGTAATGACAACTCCTTACACAATGTCATGACATAATGTAGCCTTCGTGGCAAAATGACTGAGCGTGATTCTGTCTTCTGATTTAAAGGTGATTCATATTACATGGGTTTTTAAGGAAACTAGACCGCCTGAATAATCATGGGAGAAAGGGGGAGAAAGTGAGTGAGTGAGTGTGTGTGTATGTTTCGGGTGTGTTTGTGTGTGTGTGTGTGTGTGTGTGTGTGTGTGGGGGGGGGGGGGAGTAGGGAGTGGAAAGAAGTAGGAGTACGTGGTGTATGTGTATTAATGAGAGAGCATAAAAGTGCATGGGAGAGAGTGTAATGTAGGTATGGGCACATCTGGTGTGTCTGAGTGTGTGTATGTGAGCATGCATATGTGTATGTGTGAGTGAACGCATGCCACAGTGGGTGAATATGCGTGTAAACGAGTGCTTGTACATATTACGCTTATGTGCATTATGTAGGTGAGTGAGTGTGCGTGCGTGCGTGTGAGTAGGTTAGTTCAGGACCACTGAGATACTGAGATATGACAAACGCCGACAGACAGGTCCGAGTGTGGACTTAACTCTCGAGTGCCTACAACAAGAAATATCGGTCAGGATATTGTGATGGGATTTAAACACTGTTTCTTAGGCAAAAATAATGAAACATTTGAAGTCAAGCTTGTAATTATTATTTACCCCC